TAGCTGTCCAATTAATTTCTTTCTATTTTTGGTAGAGACGGGGTCTCACTCTTGCTCAGGCTGGTTTCGAACTCCTGAGCTCAAACAATCCACCTGCCGCCTCGGCCTCCCAGAGTGCTAGGATTATAGATGTGAGCCACCGCACACGGCCTTTGTTTTGTTTTTAAGAGCAAAATACTAATACAGTTTGTAACGTGTTCTATTGTTTAGGCTTACTTTTATTATTGTCAAATACTCTCACTTTTTAACGGCATCAACAACAAATACATTTTCAGAAACTAAAGAGCACCAAGAACTAAAGGTTCCAGAAGGTAACCAGAAACAATGGCAATCTAAGAGAAAGTCAGAATGTATGAACCAGAATCCTGCTGCATCTTCAAATCAGCGGCAGATTCCAGAGGTAGCCCGAAAGGTTCATACAGAGGTAACTTTCTTTTCCACTAAATTACAACATGCTGTTGTTCATAATGCATTTCTGAAGTTTGATGATCATGTTAATGTTTTCTTTTATTAAATGCTTATATACCATATTTAGTGGAATGATTTATTTAAAGGCTTTTTTTTTCCCTATCATTTACAAAATGATGATCATTAGCCTAGCACTCATTGGTTCAGGGAGAGTAAATGTCAGGCTAAATTCTTTTCTATTTTTGAAGTTTTGTAGATCGCTGATAGACTGCTGCAGAAGTTGGCAAACTACAGCCTATGGGTCAAATCTATTTCCCAGCCTGATTGTGTAAAAAAAGATTTGTTGGAATATAGCCACACCCATTCATTTAGTATCTATGGCTGCTTTTGCACCGTAACAGTAGAGTTAAGCAGTTGCGTTAGAGACCACTTGGCCTGCAAAGCTTAAAAGGTTTACTATCTGGTCCTTTACAGAAAACTATATGCTGATCCCTGAACTAATGCAATGCTGTCCCAAACATTTAACAATTTCCTATGGTCATACTCATGGATAAAAATAGAAAAAGGGTGGGGAACCCTTTGGGCCACATGGGGCCTTCTGGATCCTTGGATTCGTCCTCTTGACTGAATCCAAATTTTACAGAATAAAGGGATTTGTTCTGTGAAATTTGGATTTGGTTGAGGGGCCACACTTGGGAATCTGGAAGGCCACATGTGGCCTTGAGGCTGCAGGTTCCCCAATTTGTAATATGGTGAATGATCATGCCCAGTGGCTGTTTCAGAAGGAATGACCTAGTAGACTACTGGAGAGTCATACCTACAGTTCATGGTAATACTTTCCTCACCATTTCTTTTCAGTGCCTTATAGTGAAGACAGTAAAGGCCTCAGATTCTAATTTAGTGCTTCTCAAACATTTTGGTCTTGGGACTCCTTTACACTCTTAATTATCAATGCACCTAAAGAGCTGTTGTTTATGTGGGTTATATTTATCACTATTTACTATACTAGAAAGTAAAATAAAATTTTAAAATATGTATTGATTTATTAAAAATAATTATGATAAACTCTTGAATATAAATACATTTTTATGAAATAAAAGTATTTTCTGAAACAAAATAATTATAGTAAGAAGAGTAGCATTGTTTTACAGTTTTTGCAAATCTCTTTAATGGTTGGCTTAACAGAAGACCAGATTCTTGTATTTACTTTTATATTTAATCTGTTTCATTATCACATGTCATACAGCAGTGGTCCCCAAACTTTTTGGTACCAGGGACAGGTTTAATGGAAGACAAAGACAGTTTTCCCACAGATGGTGGGTAGGGGGAGGCAGCGCTCAGGTGGTGATGTGCGCCCCATTCCTAACAGGCCACAGACCAGTACTGGGCTGCAGCCCGGGAATTGGGTACCACAGATAACGTCTCTGGAAACGCCAGTATAAACTCATGAGAAAATAAAAATGAGACAGGTACTTACTGTCTTAGTATTACTATGAAAATATTTTTGACCTCTCAGACCCCTGAAAGGGTCTTGGAACACCCCCTCCCCAGATTCCTTGACCACTGATTTAAGTAGCAGATGTAGATAACAAATGTTAGATGATAAGGGTCCTGACAGGTTGAATCTTGGATCATATTAAACAAGCATCTCCTCTTTTTTTCTTTTTGGAACTTGTAAGCTAACAGAATGGCAAGGAAATTCAAAACCATTTGTAGATCATTAGGGAAATGCAAATCAAAACCAAAGCTAAATACCACTTCATATCCACTAGGATGGCTATAATTAAAAAGAGATGACATGGCCGGG